ATAATTGTAACGTTGTTAATTATCTAATAAAAAGTCCCCGGCCAAGAGGTCACCTTAACACCGAAAAAAAAAAAAAATAAAAAAATAAAAAGTTAAGGCATATTTATCAAATATCCCAATATGTATCTGTACGATCGTTGATATTGATATATCATTGTGCTATAGAAAGGGTTAGTCGTGAAATTTTTAAGTGTAATTTAATTTGGATTTGTTTAACAATTGTATTTACCCATTCATTTATTTATTGTATTTATTTTGGTTAGAGATACGAAAAATCACTGATATAACAGTGTTTTTAAAATGATTTTATTTTGAGAGTCGATCTGGCCCGGAAGTTGGCAGTATTGATTTATTTTGCATTTTTGGAAGATAAATAAATATTCTGGCTTTTATTAATTTATTGATTTTACTACATCGAGGCAAGACGTCATGGGATTACGAATCTGGATGAGTAATAATTGGTAATCATTGATGTCATATGCGAAAGTTTGATTATGACTTTTTTTTTATATATGATTATTCATATAAAATAAAGAAGGTTTAGGATTAAGAAATAGGAGACACAGCAATCGAATTTATTTCAAACATTGATTAGTTGACTTAGTTTACAGGTAATAAGTAATTATTTTTGTAATTTGTGTGATTTGTGTTATAATTTTAGATATATAATAACATTTTATTTGTTATTTATTATTATAAGAATGTAAATATAAAATAATAGATAAGAATGTAAATATTTATAGGTAAATGTATAAATATATATAATATTTGTTAAAACTATTTGTAGTAAAACTATCTGTAGTATTTAAAGAAGGCATAATCCGGTACGTCAAAGGGGTACTAATTATTATTTATGAAAGAATAAAAAAAAAAAATAAGATTAATGATTTTTAAGTCGAGTACGTATTGATGTATATAAATGCTAATATACTTATTTATTCGGTAGCAGTTTGATTAGATGTATTCAAATCCAAAGGTTTATTTAGAAGATCATTTGCCAAATCGGTAACCTTTGGACGAGAGTTGGTTTTAAGATATGGTTTAGCAATAAGTGTGGTTTTTTTGCGTCGGGTGCTTCCTTTGACTCTGGTGGCTATGGTTTGAGCGATGGTGGAGGCATTTTGCTGATTCGTATTATTTTGGTCAGTCGATTCCCATGAAAATTGCATCAAGTTATTTTTTGTAATTGTATTTAATTTCTGGTATTTCGGAAATGAAACAGCATAAATATGAACTATGTTATCATTATCGGTTATCATGAGTTCGTCGTTAATATAGATTACAGAATCTTTCTTTATAGCAGTAGTTGTATTTGTTAAATATCATACAGAAGTAGGATGATAGCATGTTAGTTTAAGATTAACATAACCTTGGTCCACATAATTTTTGATCAAAACATTAACGACTACATCTTTGTTATTGATTTCTGGGTCTTCTTGAACTAATGCCGTCATGTTGATTAATATCGGAAATGCAGATAAATTGTTAGGATCAAGGGTATTAAAACGAACAATATCGTTTAAGGTAATCTTTTGTTAAAAGAAAAAAAAAAAATTAACCTGAACTGTTATTAATAGAAATCAGGCAGATTACATTTCCAAAAAAATTCATATCTTAACTTTCATAGCTTATGTCTTGATGAATTTTTTTTAAAATGCAATCTACCTGATTTTTATTGACAGCAGTTTATTTGTTTATCGATCGAATATTTTACGTTTAATAATGAAAGTAAATTATACTTTTAATATGGAATATTTTTCATCGTTTTGGCCCATGCCTTCAACGATACAAAAATTTCCAGTAGCGAGCACCACATCTTTGTTCTCAAATTCAGGTAAATTTAATTCTTGAATAGTATCGTGGTAGTAAAACCCAGTTAAAATAACGTTTAGGAAAGAGTCTAAACTTCAGGATCTTACAACACCCGAAGCTTCAACAATTGAAAGATTTTTATTAGGAATTAATTTTTTTTGGTAACTTGTCACGTAACATAACACGGTAATAGAAGCCAGCATTTTTTTTTTTTATTTTAATAATCAATGAGAGAATTGAAGAAAAATGAACGAGGAAAAAACACGGCTATTTATTAATTGATTATTTATTTTATTTTTTATTTTTTAGAAAAGACATTAATTTTTTTATATGATTCAGATAATTAGTAACGGTACAGGAATATTACATAGATTCTATAACATTTCATTGTTTAATCAGGAAATTTTTTTTTAAAACACATTTGTCTGTTCAAAGAATTTGAGATAATGAGCATATACATGATATTTTGATTATCTGCGTGTTATTTGAGTATACCTATATGCATTATTTTCAAGTCTAATTTTTTATATTACAAAAAATTAGCCAATATATAGATTGCTGTCAATAGAAATCAAGCGGATTAACACCTTAGAAAAAAAGTCAATACCTTGGCTTTTACAGTTCACATTTTGAATTTCTATGTTAGCTCTTTCTTTTTAGCATCAGTTCAATAATCAAGTTGGATCGAGATATGAGCTGTGAAAGCCAAGGTATTGCCTTTTTTTTCTAAGGCATCAATCCGCTTGATTTCTATCAACGGCAGCCCGCATAATATGGCATTAAGGTAGTTATTATTTACAGTAAAAAGAATCATTTTTTTCAAGGCAACAAAAAGTTATTTTTAAAAGGCTGCAATCTTCAAAACAACGCAATTTACTGTATCAAAATAGTCACAAGGCTAAGATCGATCGTTTATCTAATTTAACTAATTTATACACCAAATTTAGATATCAATTGGATTATCTTCATAAGTTATAGGATGCCAGGGGTGTTGAATGTATATCCAATTATAAACATAGTGCAGGTGTAATTAGTGATGACATAGTGGTAATGTGAATAGTAAAACACACTTAGACCGTAACAATTCTTGGTTTGTCAAGTTCATTTTAATGTACTTCTTTATTAAAAAAAAAGTAGCCATACCTTCTTTAATTTGTTGTCTGAATGAAAAAAACACAGCAGGAAGGTTTAATTTTTATACAAAATAGTTGTTTTTGATGTTTTTTTTTAAAAAAATATCAAACATATAACTTGAACATCTTGTCAACTACCATTATTTATAATACAAAAAAAATACAGATAAACAAACTTAGAAACTCGGGATCTTTCTATTTTTACCTTTATTTTTCAACGATGATGACAAAAAGTCAAAATCGACAAAAAAGGTTAACAAATTCTTCGCCACGAGCGAACATTCATGTGGTCTTTGACAATTAATGGTTATCAATTAATCTGCCCTATAAAAAATCTGACAAAAAAAACAAAAAAAAAGTACCAAAACATGCCTACAAATTTAGGGTAAGGGGAATAAAACAGCAAAGATAAAGTTTTTTTATCACCATTTGTATCATATCATGCCTTTTTTTTTATTATTGCTGCGAAAACAATAATTCCTCTTGTACCTGTACTTGCACTTGCACTCGCTAATGATGATTCTTAAAGTATTACAAAAATGACAGGATGAAAATTTCCTTTCTTGAAATTACAAGGAAATTTTATTCATAAATCATCTGCAGAAAGATGTTACGAGCTACAAAAAAGTTAACATCCTAAACCACTTATAGCACCACACACGCACGAATAAATACATATACAGAAAAAATAATCTGGTAAAATTGAGAATCTTTAATAATAGCTCCCATGCTGCAATTAGACATGACCATTATTATTTTATCATTTCATGTAACAATTTGTTGGATCTCACTATGTATCGTTTTGGCTAAGGTTAAGTTTGGAGTGGCCGGATTGGTATTACCAGTTTTTTTAGATAAGGGTAAGATCCTTATATTCAGTCATTAAGAATTTAATTGTTACAAGTATAACTTGGAGTTCATTTGTTTGTCATATCTTTATCTAGTACACTTGTCCATTATTGTCATACTTGAGATTATAATAATAGTACTGTCTTTTTAATTTGTCCAATATATTGTTAAGTAATTTTGAAAGGTTAATTATTTTTAGATATTTTTCCAGTATTGTTGTGACTTTGGTTCTATCTTTTTTTTCAAAGATAGTTAAGTATTTATATCCCATATAGAGATGATCAAAATTCATGAGTTGTTTTTCTATTCATTTTAATGATGCTATTTGTTTTTGAACTGAGGTTTTGAATAGTCATCCTTTTTTAATTTGTTTTGCGGTTATCATTTCTTTATTCATCATAATTTCTTCAAATTCTTCTATTGTCAATGGTGTTAGCTCTTTTTCTTCAGATTCAGAGTTTATTCCTTCAAATAGTTTGGCAAACATTTTCTTTGGATTTATTATTCTATATTGATGTGCAGTTTTAATTCAGTTTACATATTCTAGTATAGAATAGTCTTCAATTCTTTTGAATATGTACAAAAGGTTTTGTAATATCATTGATACAAAGGATATCTGTTGTTCTTCTATTTGTTTTAAAGAATAAAGTTTCCATGGTTCTAAGGTTTCTGGTTTAGTATTTTTAGGCATTTCTTCATCATTTAGTTGAAAGATAAATAATCCTAATGTTATGAAATATTTTGCTTGTTCTGGTCTATAGCTTGTTGCAATCTATTCTTCTGTTGAATAATATGAATTTTCTTGGATTTTTATTAAGTTGTTATTTTTTATTACTAATTTGGATTCTTCAAATATTTCTCTTAAGGCCATTACTTCTATAATTTCCTTTGGTATTCTATTCTGGTCTAGTTTTTCTTTTCCTCCCATTCTATTGAATATTCGGTAAAAGCTTTTGCTTGGGTTGATTTGTTCTGCTAATAAAATGTATATTTCTTCTTCTACTATTGTAAATCCTATCGCTTGGGTTATTATTCTATTTGGTAGTTGATATGGGTCATGTAAAAATACTTGTTTATTAAGGTATACTAAGAGTTCCAGATTTGAGTATGTTCCTAAGTCATTTTGTAGCTGGTTCTTCAAGTTCCATTTTTTTTCATATTGGCTTAATTCTAGGTTCAATAGTTCTCCAGTAATCGCATTCTTATTCTCAAGTCTTTGCATGAAAATTTCTAAATTTCTCTCAAGTTTGTCCTTCAGATTTCCAATATTCTCTACTTATACTTATTCTAGTCCTTTTCTCATAAACTTCTTCTAAATAGCATTTGTAGCTTTCTTGCCTGCACTGTCTTTCAAATTCTTCAAAGGGTTTTCCAGTATATATACTTATATCTCGATCATACTGCCAGTTAATTGTTTTTTAAATATTTCTTATTTTTGTTGCTATCCAAAGATAGCCATCATTTTCATAACAATTATACACTGTCAGGGTCTTTTGTTCTAGAGTTATACTTCTATAAATTACTTTTTCTAGTTCTGATTCTAAGTCGTGTATCAATAGTTTCAATAATTTTAAGGATTGGTCAGTTGTTAATTTTTTGGATATTACTTGTTGTTCTACTTCGTGTAGTTTGCTATTAAAGCAATAATATTCTTCAAATAATAGTTCTGTATTTGGATATTTCCAATGAGTCATTTAGTTTTTCCAGTATTTTTTATGTTCTTCTTTTATTTCTTCAACTGTTTCTTTATTGAAATCTTTTTCTATATAGAATCCTATTATTATATGGTAAATTTGTCCTACTTGTGTAGCTAATTCTCTTTGAAAGGTTTTTCTTCGATTTTTTGCATTTTGTTTTTTTGTATATACAAAAGAGTATTCTGAATAATTTATGTTTTTGATTTTAGAAACAAATTTGTTGATATAATAGTCTAGCTTTCTGAGTGTATTTATTAGAAAAAAGATAAAACTTGTTTCTTTTCTTTTGAGAAACAAAGAGGTTGTAGATTATCTTGTTCCGTTGGACTCTAATCGTAAAATTTTTTATAATATTCTTCTTCTATATCTTTATATATTTCTTTAAAGTACTTTCTTGTTTCTTCTATAGTTGATTTATATTTGAGATTTCCTCCCTCTTCTTCTTTTTCTGTAGTAGAGATCAAAGTATTTTTCTGTATTAATTTTCTTCCACCTTGTCATCTAATTGTTTTAGCTCTTTGAATAATTCTTGAATTTTTTCGTTAATTAGGTCTTTAACTTTTTTATTCTTTTCAAACTGTTTGACTTCTTTTTCGAATAATTGGGCTTGTATTTCTTCATTGTATTTGAAAAAGTAAGTTGCTCCTTCTAGTGAGTATAAATTTTTTACAGTATTAATAATATGGGTTGTGATTGATTCTAACTTATCTAGTATTAAGTAAACTTCTCTTTGAGCTATCAGGTCTTGTATTTTTTCTTGAATTTTGTGAAGTACTGTTCCTAACTGTGATTGTATGATATTTAATTTGCTTATATATTGCTTTTGTATTTTGGATAATTCATAATTAAATATAATCTTTTCGGCTATATCTATTGATAGTGATAGTTGTTTTACAGCTTGTAATAGTATTAGGATTATTCCTATTTGATTATTATTTGTAGGTTGAATTTTTCTTTGGAGTTTTTCAATGATTACAATTATATCATTGATTATTTGTTCTTTAGTTCTTTGGTCAAGTATTTCTTTTATTGAGTCAAATTTTGATTTTCTATGTAAAAGGTTCTAGATAAATTTAAATTTCTTTTGTTGTATTATTCTTTTTAGCCTTCGATATCTATTTGGGTTGATCTTTAGTATAACTGGGCAATATAGAAATACTATAAAATTATAATATAAATAAATAACTATTTAACTTAATTTATGCAAATTTGGAACTAGT